CTGGAAGGCCCGCCGTCGCCGGCATCACCCGGGCCAACGCCGGGGTCGCCCGCCGGCGGCGGCGGAGGGAGATGGGGAAGGCGGGGTCCTGTGGGCGCGGGGCGCGAGCTCCGCCCCGGCCACCTCCCGGGGAGGCGGCGCGAGGCGGCCTAGCCGGAGGAGGGGCCGGGCGGAAGGGGGGCGGAGGCGAGGGGCGGGGCCGACGGCCGGCGGCGGCGGGAGAGGCGGCGGCGGCGGGAGGGGAGCGGGGGAACCCTAGCCGCGGGAACCCCCTCGGGTAATTTTTGACCAGCAGTGTTTTTCCCTTCGGCCGCAATTCGCGCTCCGTTTTCCACTTTTCCAACCCACACCTGATTTGGCTAGTGTCTTTTTAGCATGCCGCGTTCTTGCACGACTGCCAGGATGTAGACTATAGTTTTACTGCCGCCCCATATCTGCCTACCAGCCCAAATGACCACTATCTTTTTGTATCGCTGGAAATTTTGGTTGAAACTGTTGTCCGTTGTGGCCTTACATCATGCCATTCTGCTGGAAATCTGACAGAGTGGACCCACCTGTCATTGTTAGAGCCCTTATGGCTGGGCTTGAGCTTGACCCACTGCCTTTCTGCTGGGGGAGAGGTGAGGGCGCTGTTGTTGATTTCCGCCGCCGCCCTCGCGTCCATCTGGCGGCAGCTCGCAGGAGTGGGTGAGACAGAGGATTGAGAGTGAGAGGGCAGAGTGTGGGCGATTTGAAGAGGTTCTGGCAAGCTGGCTAAAATGCCGGCTTTAGCTCAAGCCGAGCCAGGACTCTGACAATGACATGGAGACCCATTCAATGAGATTTCAGTTAAAGGACTAGGCAGTGTATTTTTTTTTGCTAAAGGTTAGCCTCGGGGTGTTAAGTGTTCAAATCCCTCAGAGCTATAGTTTTTTGGTATTACCCTCCCTCGAAGGTGTGTTTTGCTTCCTTCTTTCTTACAGAATGGAGGGGCTTTTCTTCCTCTCTTAGATCCTGCTTGATGTGTGTGC